ACTATTATGATGTAAAAGAAGATGAGGAATTGGTTGGAATGTATTTTATATTCTATCTTCTTGCAAAATACAGACAAATCCACTCTATTCAACAGGTATGTAGCAATAATGATAACATATAGACGCACGTATATTGAATTTAACAAATTCGAGATTGTCATGCATTAACAAACGTCCAAACCTGCTGTTAAATCTAACAGCTAGAAAATCGACCTATTATTTGCCGCACTCCCATTGACTTTGGGGATAACTGATTGTTCAATGTAAATTTATAACAGAAATCAAAATACATGACAGTTGTCCTGTTTTCTTTGTACAAAAGCGTCATGTTGGAATCAAAAAGTGGTCTTGTTTATAATACAGTCGAACATTTATTCAATATTTCAATAGAAATCACTAATATTCAGAGACCTTTGACAGCGTCTGTCAAATTGCATTTCGATAAGGTATTTTCCCATTGGTCCAAGGGACCGTTAAATATTAATATTGGTGAAATTGGCCCTTACGTATTTACTTGTTGTATTCTACGACAATAAAATTTCAAAACAAAATATCTAATTTAACTTTATTGACATTATAGATAAGAATTGCTTCAATATCTGGAAAGGGCAGATTGTTGTCCTTTACAAGAGGTTTTTTACTATTAGTGACTTAAGTGTATCTACTCAACAATGTTCTTCCTGGATTTCTGTAAGTGTCACAAAAACGAGTTACTATCTTTTGCCATTGCACGGTAGACATAGGTGTATTCTAGTTGAATGAACACAGTAAACTGATGCTCTATTATCAAGTTCCACACCATATAAAATTTGTACGTGTGCCACCTGAACACCGGCTCAACAAACTGGCGGCGGCGCCACAGCGACGCGGGTCGGATGCGCGTTATCTGAAATAAGCCTTAGTTTTTGCGTCATCTTAAGAAAAAAACAGTCTATGAATTACTGACTGTTCTGAGTCTGAAATAAATATCTGTTTCATTTGTCGTCCATTTCGCCCACGACTACTAATTAATTTCACGCTCCACCCAGGCGTTATGGGGATATATATAAACAAAGGATTTTCTTTTTTTGATATCGCGTGCCGTTCCTTCATTTTCGTTATTAATGAAGTTGTTAATAATTTGCAGAGCTCTATATTTTCCGCTCCCCGCGGAGCTGGACGTTTTGATTTATCGTAATTCTATTCGTATCTTAGAAGTGAGACAAGTGAGATAAGGGGGCAATATGCAGATTTATTGAAATGAGTTGAGGTTTTATATAGAATGTTCTAGTCATTAGAAGGCGAGCTACTGCGTAGTACAAAGCATAAATTTAAATAATTTACCGGTATGTTCGTATGTCTCCGAAAGATGAGGAAACGCTTTTTATTTCTCATGTCAATAGGAGAGGTTGGATTTGCTACGTCAAAAATTTTTTTGAAGTAAATGAAAATAATTCAGTCTTTTTGTTATGTTGCATTTATCTATGATATCGCAAAGTCCATCAGCTTTAGATTGGAAAACTACGTCCTACCTCAAACAGATTCCCCCCATAAACTCATTAGCTTACTAAGGAGGAGCTTGAAATAAGTAGTAGACCACTAAGAAACGGGGTCATTAGATGATTATTCAGCCCTAAAAGTAATTCAAACTGTGCGTTGATCACATCTATAAAATGTTTACAATTAAATGTTTTAGAACGTTACAAAGGCTTAGTGTGAATTACTAAAACAAAGATAGATACAAAGCTCAAAATACATACGTTTCAAAATATTTAAATGCTAACATTTTTCATATGCAATCATCTTGACTTTTGAAATTACTTTGAGGGCCGAGAAACACACCACGATGGATCCCGATCCTGTGTTCTGTATGCTTCCTGTTGTGTGTCTAGCAGTACTGATGATTGCTGGCAAAGATGAAACAGTGCCATAGGTTGTTCAGCACTGGACGGAAAGCGAACATTGTCAGTTCAGCGGACCATTTTATTTGCCACAACGGAATTTGGTAGTGAAGGGTATACCTAAGTTCGACCCAAAGCTCAAACAACATTTTGCTGTTCCAGAATTGGCTGTGCAGTCTTTTTGAACAATGCATTACCATCTTACTAATTTCTGTCGGTCTACTTTTCTGCCTCGATTTATCTGGCAATGAGTTGTATAATAAAACAAAAAACATTACTCAGTAATTCGTTTATTTCATCTATCCCGCAAATAAAGGGATAATACCTATTTGTTATAGTGACATTCCACCATCTTTACATGGTCTCTCTACCTGAGTGGGAAGTCATAGGAATAACTATTTTGACATTTTATTTCGGAGAATACCTTGATGGAAGATGCTACCCTACCAAATTTCAATTACAAGGTACAGATCATGATAACTGGATCCAGAAGCTACATGTACATTGCGGAGTGCTGTTATAACTAAATAGCTCATAAAGTCAAATGTTGGCCATACGCTGTCCTACCCTTCCCCAGAATAAACAACCGACAACCTAAATTCAACAAAACTTACAAATTTTAATAATAGACTTTTAGCCCGGATCTCTCCAGAATACAGATGAGCTCTAATTAGTCCCCCAGAGAGCGCACCCTACCAATTTACTGAACATGACGAAAGACCACATCGAAAACGGTAGCGTGCATATGAACTGCGGTATATGAAACCGTTCTACAGGGTGACTCAAGATTAAACAGACCTATGGCCTAAATAGTCTAGAGCATTTCGACATGGAACCATTTCATCGTACACATATACAGGGCGTTACTTGATGATAGGCTGTAATTACAAGGAGAGACAACAACAAACCACAAAAAAGCGCGTCTTTGAAATACTGGATCTAATGAATATGGTCGGCTTTTTGTAAAATGTCTCTCAAACTAGATAACAGGTTTGTATAAACTGGGCCCCTAATTTTCATACCAAATCAAGAAACACGTCATAAATCACTCGGTTTAGCTACAAAACCTATTTTTCCATATACCAGAAGCATGGATACAAATCAATATCTAGATTGACATGACAGCAATTATATGAGCATTTTATAGAAGACAATGGTAACTCACTGTGTCGGTACAAAATTATGCTAGATAAAGCATTTGCAGACATAAATAAAATCACAGAATGTCAATTTTTTGAAAAACTTTGAGCAGAGATCCAGTTTACTTAACTACCCTGCGAAAAACCCAGTTTCTTAAGCCAGCCCTGTTCACATGGAACTCTTGCGCCCTCTACTGGGATGTGGTATGACTACTTTATGCTTTGTCTTCTTCACCGAGGTGCGGCATCTCCATGTTAGCAGTAAGAGAGAGGGCAGGCATGAGAAATACGCACGGTAGTCAAGTCTACTCGATGTGTGTTATAAAATAAGCATTCTGTAATTTTATTTATGCCTTCATAGGATTTATTAAGCAGAATTTTGCACAGCAACAGCGATAAAATGCTCAGTAATGGCGTCATCAATCTATTGTATCAGGTTTGTTATACTTATGCTTCGAGTAGGTCATTAATCCTCCTTTTGATTGATGGAACTTAGATCAACTTATTTGTCCGGACACAAACGGAAAATAGGTTTTTGTAGCTCAATCACGTGATATGTGGAGTATTTCTTGATTAATATGAGAACTAGGAACCCATCTTACATAAATCATAAAAATTTTCTTTATTTTGAAAGACAATTTAAAATAAATTGACTAAATACAGTACTTGGCCCAATTATGCAAAGGGTGCATATTTTGATTCCCGCGGATCAATAGTAAGATTTGAGCTAGAAGTCTGGCTTCTAAGATAAAGAAATTTATTAATATCTCAAAGATGCTTGTGGCAATTTTGTTGAATCTTGGCAGCATTGATCATTGCGATGGGACGCTAAATTAGCAACTAAGAAATTAAATTTTTGATGTATGTGAAATCGTTTGGCACTTGATGAGAAAGAAAGAGGAAGCCTGCATAGAAACCGAGAGTGGTTATTTCCAACATTTTCCAAAATATTCTGTCAGATTTTGATCATTTTTAGTCCTTAGATTTCTAATATAGTATTAAATAAATATGTACTGCAGAAACTAGCTTCAATTTTTCAACAAAGTAACATAAAAAATGTAACTTTATTTGTTTAACGCACTTTTTCTTGGAAATCAGCATTTTACATCTTTTCTGGAGCTTATAATAATTATTTCCTGATTATTACTAACTTGATAATTTATTGCAGTTAAAAGCATTGGCAAAATTCAAAAATAGGCACACAGGTCTCGGAGATATGAATGCAAAACTAGCTTTTCTTAAACTTCAACACTCTGTGCCTTGGATATTTTTTATCATCACAAACTTATATGAACTGTTCTATTTGATCTTGGTTTAGGAATGCCCACCTGTAATTAGAGCTTATCATCAAATAATACCCTTTGATTTATGAGGAAAAATAAGGGCGCCTTTGTAACGGAAAATCAAGGTACTAAATTTTAAATTTCCTGACATGTAAAAGATTCATTCTATAGAAATACTCGTCTGTCGTAGTGTAGAAAAGGTATATGGCATAAATATTTACGAATTTGCGGAAATGGGATAATCTGAAATCTTAGTAGGATCTGGAATATTACAACCTTTTACGTGTGAAGTCACTATTGTTTATTAAAAAATATGCAGGTTTCATTTTTACCAATTCTCTAAGTGTCAAATGGATCTCCTGACATTCTAGAGCCATCATATTAAGGTTTTTTGAGATGCTTACCTCAATTTCGTGCTAAAGCGCAGTGTGTTTTGCAAACAAGTGAAACTGTGGCAACGTCTGCAGATTATTCATAGCTTCTGTACCACCCCAAAGAGGAATCCTGGCTTAATATTTTGCTGTAAAGCATCTCCAAGAGTACAATTACTCTGGAGTATAACCTGCACGAAAAACTTCAGTTTTGCTAGTACCTAAGTCTACTTCCTCGTCTAAGAGCCAATCGGCTAGGACACAGGTGGGCGAACCCTTTACAAGGATTTATAAGACAACTAAATGGGAAAAGCTGAAAAAACTTACTCGATTTATTTGTGTCGCATTTGCAGGTGAAGCGCAATTTGCAGTAGGTTTTTTTGTGCTCTAGAAGATCTTGCAGCTCCGAGAAGAGTTCCCTGCAATTGCCGCAAATCAGTATGTCTTGGTTACCTGAAAGGACAAGCACTAAATGAGTTGGGGAGTACTTGTAATTAATAATGTATCGGGTAGGATACAATTTTCTGCTACATCGTTTACAGTGTCGGATTAGCTTTTTGTTCAATATTGTCTGGTATTTCAACTAGTTCTAGAGATATGCTGGATGGCACAAAAAACCGAAGCGGAAAAAGCGCATCACTGACGAGGAAGTATTGCAACCGCGAAGAAAGTCCAAAGTGAGATAATAGCTTTTTTCCCGGACACCTTCATCTTAGCATCGCAAGCGCACTAAAAAAAGGACCGTTCGCGGTGACAAAATTTGTTACTCGGGATTAAAAATTCGTTGTTCGTGGTACAACTGTGTTAAGTTCTGAACGTGCTCGTAATGTGTTCGACAGATCCGGTGATAGACGGAGGGATTTAAAATTCAGAACAAATCCTATTCTATAATTCCGTGTCTTTGTGATATAAACAAACATTTATCTTAAATCTAATTTCAAGATGATGCCAATGATGCATTTAAGTTCAAGTGACGAAGATTTGGAAGAATCGAAAGAATTGTTTGAAGTTCAAAAAATGAGAACTTTTGTGAGGAAACTGTGCCCCAATTCAACGATCAACAGTTTTTGGGGCATTTTAGGATAAGCAGGGAAGTAGCAACCCAATTATCAAACAGATATGAAGCTTCGAAATATTATCACTACCAAAATGGTGACTCTGAAAAAGTCAGCCCTTTTAAAACAGTTGTGGCCTTTTTATGGTATGCAAGCAATGAAGCTGCAAGCTTAAGGGATGTATCTGACCGGTTTGGGATTACGATTAGCTCTCTTCATAAAATTGTAAAGAGATTTACCTATTTTTTATCCAATTTGTCTGCGGAATTTATAAAATGGCCAACTAACCAGGATAAAATTAAAATTGAAAGCCACTTTAGGCAAGACGCATTTCCTGGCATTATTGGCGTCATTGACGGTACACACATTGGAATTGACAAGACACAGGATGATTCAGATTGATACCTTAACAGGAAGCACTTTTTTTCGATCCAGGTAAGAAAGCAAAATTTTAAATTTCAATTTAAATGTTATTCAAGTATGATAATATCCTAAATGTTTATATAATATATATTATTTTTTACAGGCACAAGTTGTTTGTGATCATAAAAGGAAAATAAGGGATATATTTGTCGGATACCCAGGATCCGTACATGACAGTCGAGTGATTCGGACATCACCATTATTTGGAACACTTCAAGAAAAATGTGGAAATCACTTTATTATTGGAGACAGTGGTTACCCTTGTTTACAATATTGCCTAAGTCCATTTCAAGATAGAGGTAATTTGACTCGTCGCCAAAGAAATTACAATTATCTTCTTTCGAAAAATAGATATGTAATTGAGCACTGCTTCGGCATACTCAAACAAAAATTCAGACAGCTTTACCATTTGAAATTAAGAACTATCGAATTATGTGTTCACTTTATAAGGGCCTGTGCTGTATTGCACAACCTTTCAATAGAAGACAATTTACATGATTTTGAAGTTCCACCTGCACCAGAAGCACAGAATGAAGTAATTGTTGGACAAGCAGGGCGAGATGCAGGAAATGAAAATCAGGATGAACAAACTGGGATAACAAAAAGAAATGAAGTAATGAATAGCTGAAATTTCGTTATTTAGTATGTAATGTGTATGTATTTTTAATAAAAGCTTTTTGAAATAAATTTAAAACAAGTAGTGTTAATTAATTAACTAAATAATGAAAAAATAAATAAACAAAAAAAACAACGAAATTCTCTAACTAAAATAAAGACACTGTACAATTTAAAACTTAAATTATACTAATTTAAGTTTGATCTAAATAAATATAGAAAAACATAACAAAATTCTCTTAAAATATACTAAGTGACATATAAATCCGAACACCCAGTTTAAATGGTTTTATTTTAATAAAATTTTGTATAAGTACTTAATGAAACATAATAAGTAAATGATAAAAATTCCAAAATGATTGCGCTGCATTAAAGCCCTTTGACCTTTAATAATGTATGGATGCACCCTGATGTGCCACGCATTCTCCAACGCGCCTAGGCATGCTTCTGATCAGGTGGTCAATGTCCTCCTGTGGTATCTCATTCCAGGCAACCACCAACTCCTCTCGAAGTGCTTCTAGAGTCTGAGGAGGACGTTGTAAATTGAGCAATCTCCTACCCATCATATCCCACAAGTGCTCAATTGGGGATAAGTCGGGAGATCTTGGTGGCCATGGTAACAATGTGACATCATTATCTTGCAACATGTAGTTGGGCATTATCTTGTTGGAAAGTTGAATCTGCCAGGGTGTCAAGATAGGGTAAAATATGGTGTTCTAGAACTTCGTGGATATAACGCCGCGCGTTCATGTTACCTCTGATGAAAATTAAAGGTGACCTGGAACCATAAGCTATAGCATCCCAAACCATAACTCCAACAGTGTGATGAACATGTCTTTCAACAAAAAACTGTGGATTCCTCCTTTCACCACGTCGCCTTCTTACCCTGGCACGACCATCGTGCATGCCTAAACAAAATCGAGACTCCTCACTAAAGACAATACTGTTCCATTCCTGATCCCAGAGTGACCGTTGTCTGCACAAATCAAGGCGATTACGTCGGTGTTCTCGAGTTAAAGGGAGTACCCAGTGTGGCCGGTATGAAAACAAGCCAAAACTTCTCATTCGTCGGTAAACACTTCGCATGCCAATAGGTCTTCCATGTTCTGCAAACCAGTCATTTGCAATGGACCTGGTAGTGGAGAAACGGGCCCTTAAGGCCAATAACCTTAGGCGGCGATCTTCACGGTCTGTTGTTTCACGGCGGCGTCCAGTGCCCCTTGCTCTTTGCGTACGGCCTTCTCGAAGCCATGCCTGACAACACCTACCCACAGTGTCTACACTTCTTTGCACTCTAACTGCAATTGCCCGAAAGGAAAGTCCAGCTTCCCGAAGTCCCACTATACGGCCCCTATCAAACTCACTAAGTTGACGAAATCGTACAGGTCTCCGTACTCTAGGCATCGTAACCGATCGTAAAGGATGTCAAGAACCAAAATCCGCTAACGTTGATTCTTTACTGCGGCTGAAATATTCATTTTTAGAGCGTTAGTGAATTAAAAAAAAGCAGTATAAAAACCGGAATGTCCAACTGATAAGGCTGAAAATTTTTTCACTTGTTGTTTACAGCAAGATAAATACATTCACCAACTTTTATTAAAATAAAACCATTTAAACTGGGTGTTCGGATTTATATGTCACTTAGTATATGTATAGTAAATTCTTTGAACAAAAAAATTAAACCTTTTAAAGGATATCAAGGTGTGGATTAGATCTTCATAAATTTTTTTTGTCTGTTAATTTTCTTTCCTGAATTTCAAAAAGTTTGTTTTAAATTTTTTTTCTATCTTTCCGAATTTCAGATAAAATTGTAACTTTAAGCCTTTTATTCATATTTGTAATCCTTTGAGGAGCTATTACATCAGTTGCCTTGCTGCTGGTGCTGAGTAGCTCCTTGGTTTTAGGAAATTCTACCAGATTTTCCTTTTCAGGATTGTCTCCTGTAACCAGCTGTGTTGTTGGATGAATAACTGTGACGGATGACAATAATACAACAGGATGAATGTTTCGTTTTTTTACCCAAAATATCTTCCATTGCTTCTGCATACTCAAACTCTCTTCTTCCTCTTCCAATTTTATTGTTGTTGTCCACATATTTCTTGAACATTCTCTCCAGATGTTTCCATGTTTTCACAATTTGATCCTGTTATATTTTGATTGGTTTTTTGTCTTAACTCCTTAGCAATTTCTTCATACATTTTTTTTTAATTTTTAATTTTTAAAGACCCAACCAAGTCTCTATTTTTTCGTATAGGTCTAAAAAAATAAGAGTCTTGGTGTAATTCCATTTAAAGGATTCCACTTCATCCTGGTCTTGAGAACATGAAGGAAATAGCAGAAACTCTGACAGATCTAACAAAATAGTAATTTTTTAATTATTTATTTATTGATGGGTTAAAAAAACTTACCTCCTTTATCAGACATTTTAAAAAAAATGGGCGACACACTTGCTGGACTTGATAAAAAAATACTTAAATTCAAATAATAAAAATCAAAACAAAAACTCTAACCTTACTTTTGTGCAGAAAGAATTTGGTAGGTTTTGTTGCTGTTCGCGGACATTAAAAATTCCGAATTAATTACATCACGCGCTTGCGCAATTCAAACGTATCGGAGGTACTTTATTTGTGTCCGGAATATGCTCTGGATTAGCTCCGCGAAAAAAGCTAATATCCTTTTTGGCTGTTACAAAAAACCATGACAACCTGGAAAGTACTACTGGTTTTGATGAAATTATCACATAAGGTCACTGTTATGTCAAGGGCGAAAAACCTTTGTAGGTTTAAAAATCGGTCTAGTGGCGGCGGACGTACTGGCGATAGAAGAAAAAATAAAAATCGCTCAAGTTTGACGTTTCATAGAGTCCTGATAATTTTTGAAAATTTTTGAGGGTTAAAAAATTGGGTGATGGCGGGTTTTAGCTGGATTTTGACATACATATTGCACGCTTCTCGGGAATCTCTCCCATACACGTCAGCTAAATTTAAACCTCACCATATATTTCCCACAAATTTTCCCTTAAGATAGAAATACTTTTATGCCATAAAGTTTTTTTACCTGAGTAGCTGAGGTCAACGACGCCCGCGACTAACAGGGCATTATAATTTATTAATAATCAGATACGGTGACAACATTGGGGCTGTAGTGGTTTAGATATGAAACAACGAATAGACTTTCACTAGTCTCCTGGGAATATGAAATAATTTCATGGAATCAAGCATCTATCTTTAGTATTATTTCGTCAAACAAGTAAAACCAGAGCTACGGAGGTTGTCCTCCATTAGTTAAAAAAATCAGTTAAGCTGACAAAACTTCTTCTTCAACGATATTCATGACCAGCTGTGAGGATTCTCACAGCCG